CCTTACCATCCTGCACTAGCATCACTCCTCTCCGGGTCTCTGTCCTCCATTACAAGCGAGCTTCTTTGAAGAGGACAACAGCTGGTCGATTTGCCTTTACAAACGTCACCCCGAAGGGCACCTGGGTGGCTCAGTCAGTTAAACATCCGACTCTCGATCTTGCCTCAGGTCATGATCTCATGGTTCACAGGTCCAAGCCCCGCATTGGGCTCTGCATTGACAGCGTGGAGCCTGTTTGGGATTCTCTCTCTCTCCTTCCTTCTCTGCCCCTCCTCTGTTCGCATGCACACACACACACTCTCTCAAAATAAATAAACTTTCTTAAAAATATAAATAGATAATGAATGGGAGTGGCGACATCCCACTCGGAGCGTAAAGCAGGGCCCACATGGGATAACTGCCGTGGGCCTCTTGTAACCTGGAGAGGATGTGCATGTGTGGGGGTCAGCAGGGCTGTGTGGCTCACTGTAGGACCTAGCAGGCCCTGTGCATGCCGGCCCATGTTGCACCATGTCCAGGAAGAGCACCACAGTTCTGCCAGCACACTGAGTCCTGGGAAGTCGTTTACTGGCTCCTCTTCTCTGGCTGCTCTGTGGACTTATTTTCCCAACTCCTGTCAGTGAGCAGCGAGGTTGGGGGCCACAGCAGGGCTCCTCTTTAACCACTTGATTGTCCCAGAGAGGAAATCGGGTCAGCTGCAGGCTGGCAGCTCAGGTGGGCTCCCCAGTGGCTGCAGGAATGCTCTGAGCACCCCCAAGCTCAACAGAGAAGGGGGCAGGAATGGCCAGGACCAAAAAGCAGGAAGCCACAGTCAGGGCCAGGCTTATCTTGGTCCAGTTGCCCAGCGCCCCTCTCCTGAGAGACCTCTCTGCTGGACATCACCATGAGAGCCTCCCCGGGTCAGGCTGGCCGAGGATGTGCTGTGACTCTGGAGACAGTCAGGAGGATGAAGCATATCCGTCTTTGGGATTGTCCATCTAAGGCTAAGCTAAGCTGAGCCGTTGATTACTCTAAGTAGCTCAAAGGGGGATGATGGCAGTGAGTGAGGGGAGAGAGTTTGTGCAGGAGGGGGGAGTCCTGCAGGGACCTTCTATACTGTCCCTGGCGGTGCTAGATGGAACTGGAATAGGTGTGGGCAGACTTATCCTTATGCCTTGAAGATCAGGTTTATAGCTGGACCCCCTTGTGGTCCGGAGGCTGCCAGGAAAGAATAAGAAATGTAGTAAGAAAGCTCTGCCCAGGACACTTGACAGTGTTGGGCATGTACAAGCAAGGCTTCCCCCCGTCCTCCTTCCACAGCACAAACCAGACCCTGGTCTATGCTCAATCCTAAAAAAGTCTGCATGGGCTTCCTACCTAAGATTCGGGGGCTGCAGCCAGCCAGTTCCAGCACAAGGGGTTGGGACAAAGGGCACCAGATCAGGGGCAGGAGATCTAGGAGAACAGTTTTGCCACTAGGTTCCTGAGTGACTCATCTCATCCATGACCCCTCCCCTCTCCGTAATGGTTCTAGAATGGCATGGAGTGAAATGATTTACACATAAACACACCTGGATTATTAGCAGTGAGAATAAGAGTTCCCATTGAGACAGGGAAGGAGCCCCGGGGTTCCCTATGGGGAATAGAAAGTAAGTCTGGGGGGCCAGGAAAGGAGAAGACCTCAAGATCCTAACCTATAGAAAGGGAAAATTATCTTTTTTTTTTATTTAATTTAATTTTCTTTCAATGTTTATTTACTTTTGAGAGACAGAGCATGAGTGGGGGAGGGGCAGAGTGAGAGGGAGACACAGAATCTGAAGCAGGCTCCAGGCTCTGAGCTGTCAACAGAGAGCCCAATGCAGGGCTCGAACCCACAAACTGTGAGATCATGACCTGAGCCAAAGTCAGACACTTAACTGAATGACCCACCCAGGTGCCCCTAAGCATTGGCATTTCTTTATTAAAAAAAAAAAAATTTTAATGTTTATTTATTTTTGAAGGAGAAAGACAGACAGAGTGTGAGTGAGGGAGGGGCAGAGAGAGAGGGAGACACAGAATCCGAAGCAGGCTCCAGGCTCTGAGCTGTCAGCACAGAGCCTGTTGTGGGGCTCGAACTCACGGACCACAAGATCATGACCTGAGCCAAAGTCAGACGCTTAACCGACTGAGCCACCCAGGCACCCTGAAAGGGAAAATTATCTTGCTTATAGTGTTCTAAGTATTTCTGTGGTCCTAAGTATATCTCCAGCTCCAGGTCCACTTTAGGACACAGACTTTTTGGGTCAAGTGAAGTCCTTTTAAGTGTGCCCAGGACAGGGGCTGCCTGAACTCTATGACCTACCAAACTGTACAGGAATAAATGCTGCTTACTTGGAGCTCTCAGGCCGGAAGGGACACAAAGTTCCTAAAGTCCTAGAGCGTGACTTTTCTAGCTCGCCGATAGTTGAGTAATTTTCCAGAAATGGGACTTGGCTAGGTTCCTTGTGTAAGGTACCAGCCCATCCCTCTTACATAAGAAAGTATTGTTTATTCCCCACTGAGGATTTGGGAGGCCAGCTCTTCAATAGGGTGGGGCTCAGGAGATCCTGAAGCTGCAGCCCCAGGGGTCAAGGCTCTTTGACCCAGCCAGTGAGAATTAAGCCTCATCCAGCAAAGACTTTACCTCAACTAAGCATGGGTGGGGAGGGACTGTTGCAACTGTGGGGGTCCTGGGGATGCCATTTGTGGTCCAAGTTCTCCCAGTCTACGGACTCTTAAACTGATTTGTGTACAAATGAGGGGAGGCAGTAGGCAAGTACAGAGGGCAGTCTGACTAGAAAAAGGTGGTGTGTGTGTGTGTGTGTGTGTGTGTGTGTGTGTGTGTGTGTGTTATAAGACTACTATGAGGAATTTTAAAACAATCCAGTGAAAGTGAAAGCCTTTTTCTTATCTCACGCCCAACCTTGGGGCTAACCACTGTTAAGCATTGTTAACAGTTGGTACACATCCTTTGAGATATTCTGTGCAAACAGATTTCTACAATAAAAACCTGGACCATACTGTGCATATTATTCTGCAATGGGCTTTTCTACTTAATATATTGTGGGCCTCTTTTTTTTTTTTTAATTTTTTTTTTTAATGTTTATTTATTTTTGAGACAGAGAGAGACAGAGCATGAACGGGGAGGGTCAGAGAGAGGGAGACACAGAATCTGAAACAGGCTCCAGGCTCCGAGCTGTCAGCACAGAGCCCGACGCAGGGCTCGAACTCACGGACCGTGAGATCATGACCTGAGCCGAAGTCGGCCGCTTAACGGACTGAGCCACCCAGGCGCCCCTGTGGGCCTCTTTTCATGTCAATACAGAAAGCTCTGATTGCTCTTTTAAACAACAGCACGGTTTTCCAGTTTACCTACTCAGTCCTTTGATGCTGGACACTTAGGTTGTTTCCAGTTTGTTTTTTTTGTTTTTTTTAAACTTTTTATTTGAGTGTAGTTGACATACAATGTTACATTCGTTTCAGGTGTACAATTTAGGAATTCAACTTATGTATATGTTATGCTATGCTCACCATATAGTTTGTCTGCTCTTATAAACAGTCCTGCAGGGGCACCTGGGTAGCTCAGTCAGTTAAGCATCCGACTTTGGCTCAGGTCATGATCTCACAGTTCGTGGGTTCAAACCCCATGTCGGGCTCAGTGTTGGATTCTGTGTCTTCCTCCTTCTCTGCCCCTCCCTCGCTCATGCTCTGTCTCTGTCTCTGTTCTCTGTCTTTCTCTCTCAAAAAATAAATAAACATTAAAAAAATAAATAATCATGCAAACATCTGGGAGTATGGGAGTCCTTGTCCAATTCTTTCCTTAGGGAAAATTTTTTTTAATTTTTTTAATGTTTATTTATTTTTTGAGAGAGAGAGAGGCAGAGTGTGAGCGGGAGAGGGGCAGAGAGACAGGGAGACACAGAATCTGAAACAGGCTCCAGGGTCTGTGCCGTCAGCACAGAGCCCGACATGGGGCTCGAACCCACAGACCGTGAGATCATGACCTGAGCCGAAGTCAGATGCTTAACTGACTGAGCCACCCAGGCACCCCTCCTTAGGGAAAATTCTAAGAAGTAGAATCAGTGGATCAAAGATCTGCCCACTTAAAATGCTCAGACATGTTAGAGATGGTCAGTTCAGCCTCCCATCCATGGTACACATGTGTGCAGGGCCCAGTGTGCATCGTGCCACTGTGGGCCACTTTATCTCTCTCTCCCTGATGGACATCACCATCGGCAACCTGAGGCCATGCACCATCAATCCCTGTCTCTAGTGGTTCTTATTCTTCACTCCCTTCCCCTACACAATGGGAAGGGGGAAAGGGAGGAAGGGAGGAAGGGAGGGAGGGAGGAAGGAAGGAAGGAAGGAAGGAAGGAAGGAAGGGAGGAAGGAAGGGAGAAAGAAAGAAAGAAAACATGTCAAAACCCTCATCTATATTCCCCATCCCAATGCATCAGACATAATGACCAGAATAACTTGCAGCCTTAATCCTTCTGATGATGGGGCCATAAGTTTTTGAGACCCAGGCTGTTGGTCCCTACCACGACTAACACAGAATCTTGCTTACCTGAAACACATCTCCATTGATGGTGGTCCCCATGTCCTCAGAACCAGCTAGTAAGAGAACAAAGAAATGGCATTATTCATAGCTCAGCTTAAAGCAAGCACAGAATGGTTCTACATTAGCTCCCTGAGCCATCCTCTGCCTATGCCCATCTGTGTATTAACACCCCCTCCCCACGTAGACATACTGGATGCATAAATAAGTTGGGCTCTATCCATGACTGTTCACAAATCCTTCTCACAGCCATTATCACATTTGATTGTCACCACAACTTTGTGATGATGTTATCAACCCATTTTACAGATACTCAAACTGAGGCCCAGAGAGGCTTATGATTGCCAAGAGCCACCCAGCCAGTAATAGCCCCTCACCTACCTGAGATTACTTCACCCTCGGCCATGGCTAGGAATGGCCTGATTGCCTGTGGAGCCTGTGCCTGGTGAGGAGATAGAGGTGCTGTAGGCTCAGGGCGGTGTCTGTGAGAGCTAAGGAAGAGGGGCCCAGCGCGTCCCTGCCTGTCCCTGCGATGCCTTGAGCAACTGCTCCACCTGGAAGAGCAGGAACTGCAGCCCCCACCAGGCAGCACCTGGCCTATTTTTCCTCCTTCCGCTCCTCCCAAAAGGATTTTCTTTTGCCCTCAACAATGACTCCTCCTGGTCCCTTTCCCTGACAGCTGATTAGTCACAAATTCCTGTGGCTTTTGCTGCAACAGTGACCTTCAAATTTGCCCTCTGCCCTCTGCCCCCTGTCCGCTCTATCTGCCCTGTTAGTGGCAAACACCTGGAGGGCCATACTTGTGTCCTTTCTCCTCCCCACTGTCTTTTCCAGAGGTGGGCACAGTAAGAGTTCAGAGACGTGTGTTAAATAAACACGAATACAACATATCAGAAAAAGAATGGATGGCTTTTGTCCACTCACAGGCCTCCCTGACTCCAGTGTCACACTCTCCCAACCCTCTTTCAAACCATCTGCCAGGGTTGATGTTTTGTAAAGCATACACCTACCTATGTCACTCTTCTGATTAAAAATATAATAAAAACAAACCAGAAAAATATCCACCTCTCATGAACTGCAGTGGCCCGTAGGGCCTGCTCCTGCCTTTGGGACTGCTCCCTCTGCCTGGAAGGGCTTCCTACCCATAGCCACACAGGCTGTTCCCTTACTCTCTCTTCAGCCTCTGCCCAAATGTTGTCTTATTAGAGGCCCTCCCTGACCACCCCGGACATTTACCCCTCTGGCACCGCTCCCTCCTGCCCCTGCAGTATTTCTCTACTTACCCCTCGGCCTGATAGGCTTTTTTGTGCATGTGCCTATTATGCACCTTCTCCACTTGAATGGACCCTCGTGAGGGCAGGGACTTTGTTTTGTCCACTGCTGGGGCCCAGCATCTAACACAGTGCGTGGCGGGGCGCCTGGGTGACTCGGTCGGTTAAGCGTCCAACTTCGGCTCAGGTCATGATCTCGCGGGTTTGTGAGTTCAGGCCCCGCATCAGACTCTGTACTGACAGCTCGGAGTCTGAAGCTTGCTTCAGAATCTATGTCTCCCTCTTTCTCTGCCCCTCCCCTGCTCAGGTTCTGTCTCTGTCTCAAAAATAAATAAACACTAAAAAAATAAATAAAAATAAATAAAATAAAATAAAACCGTGCCTGGCACATAGTAGAGGCTCAATAAATATTTGTTGAATGAGTACGTCAAACCTCAGACCATAGTACGTGAGAACCTCTACACTCTGGCCCTGCCCACTTACTTCCCTGCCTCACTTCCCACCAATCCCTCTCACAAAACCTATTCTGGTTTCCTCCTTCTCCAAACACAGCAGTCTGCACCCCATGACTTTCTTCCTGCTTCTCTCTCTAAAGAATGCTCTCTGGAGCCATTCTCCAAGGCCCAGCTCACAGGTCACCTCCTTTGGGAAGCCCTCTATCACTTCCCCTACTTCCCTAGACACTGATGGAAGGTTCCAGCTCTGGGATATCGCAGAATATTGTATAGCATCCCCCACACTCTTATGCAGTTATTTGTGACCTTCCAAGGGTCATGCACTCCCTTCTCAAGGCAGTCTCTGTATCGTGTTCAGCTCCTAAGGGTTCCTGCACAGAATGGGTGAACAGTTGAGCAGCGAGTGCCGGCTAAATGGAAGGTGAATTGCTCTTTTGGGCCCACTGCTACCTGCAAGGTCTGCCTAAGGCATCTCAGAAACTGTGATGCCTCCTGCCAAAGAGCCACAGGAGGCCACACCAGCTTCCCACAGACAGACAAGTACCCCTTTACCAGCCAGATAGAGCTGTAAGCAGGAACCACAGTGATTTCAGCCTGGGGACTGAAAGGAGGGATACTTAATCTTATGGAAATAATCCCTGGTTGATATACATTATAATTGACTATTTTCAAACAGTGATTGCTTCTGACCAACTATGTCAGCTGTCATTCCTACCCATTCAGCTAGGGCTTCTCCTATATAGGTGGCCTCATCCCTCAGTCAGCAGGGAGCTGATGGAGTTGTAGTGGCAGCATCTTCTGTGTAGGGTCTTCTCCTGGGACATCTCCTCTACCAGGGCCTAATGCTATCAGGGTACATTCATGATTATGTCAGTCTGTTCACTTGGCCTTTCTGGAGGCCCCACCCCACTCTGACCAGACCAGTCTCAGGTCCCTGGTCCACAGTCCTTGTGCCTACCTTGGCCTTTCAAAAGTCTCTGCCTCAGTTTCTCAGTCCCCTGACTGCTCCTCTGGAGATGAAATTTCAGGCTCTTCAAGAATCCACACACACCCACACACAGAATTGAGTATCTGTTCCCACAATGCTTTCTGATTATTGTACATTTATAATCATATGTCCGTAGTCAGAGGCCTGCAGACTAGAAGCGCAGCAGATATGAGTCCCACAGATAACCCTGTGGGTGTTGCTTCCCTCAGATTCCTGACCCCTTTTGGAACAAGGGCAGACAGGGTCCAGAACATTCCTGGGAGCTTACTGAGGCCCAAAAGGGGAAACAGGCTTGCCAGGAACTGACTGGGCAAGTCAGGGGCAGAGCCAGGCCAGGGCTCAGAAATCTGGGTGTGAAAATGTAAACCTTCTGGGGCCCTACCCAAGGCTGATGAATGGAAACAAAGTGTCCATTGCTCAGGCTGGCCACAGATCCAGCCCCAGAGGAGAGGCTCAATGTGGCTGAGGCGCAGGCCTATATCGGATACCTCTTTCCCCAGGGGTAACAGGGAGTCCAACGGCAGGGCAGTCAGCACAGTGGCAACATCTAAGAGAACAGCCACAGAAGTGTTGATTGGTGGCAGCTCCGGAAGCCAGCTTCCTCCAGCTCCCAACAGGCCAAGGCACTTTTTCTCCATCCTATCCTGGCTTCTGGCACTATCGCTGGTTAGGAAAGATTACTTGCTCAGCACCATCTAGGCCTAGGAAGGTCAGATCAACTCCATGCTGTCTGGCCACCTACTGAGCCATCATCCCATATTACCTCCCTGATCTTCAGGTCCCACTTAGGAGGGCAGCTGAACATTTGCAGCTTCAGCAAGTATGAATCTGGAAGGCCTTCAGAGGGCCATGTCTCTGCTTTTCTCCCTGCTACCTCCAGTCTGGGGTCAATCTGTACCCCACTCCTGCCACAAAGGGAACCTCTCATCCAGGCTGTAAGCCCCTGGAGCCCCACTGTCCTGGGATAGGCCACAACCTGCTCAACTCCCAGACGCCTCTGGCTGTCCTTAGCCTAGTTTCTACCTGCCCTTCTCTCTCAGAGGGTTCTGATAACAGCTCTTCTCAGCAGGGCCTCCTGCAGGCCAAACCAGGTTGAAAAAACTGGTGGTTTCAAGGAGGAGGTGTGGACTAATGAATACTGGTGCATGACTATAGGCAGGCATTTCCTAGGAGTTCCCTGGAATGTGTGAGCATCCATGATGAGGTGCTAGGAGCTGCTGTTTGAGAAGACTCCACTCTTGGCCTGGTTGGGTCACAAAGCCACCCCTCCATCCCATTACCTCCTAGGGTGACGGCCACATCATTTGAAAGAGTGTGGGGCCCAAAGTTGGGAGGGTTAGGATCAAGTCTCAGATCTGTCACTCATGGCTGTGAGACTTTGGGCAAGACACTCAGGCTCTCTGGGCCTCCAGTTTCTTAGATGTTACAAAAGGCTTGTTTCATTTCTTTTATCAATGGGGTACTGAGATGCTTCAAGCTCCTACAGCCACAGAAACTGTCCTATTCATTTCTATATCCCCAGTGGTCCTGGCACACGGTAGGCACTCAGTAAAGGTTGAATAAAAACAAATATGACGATAAGGAACATTTTTTTTTGATTATGTAAGCTACCACTAATTCCAACAGGCCCATAAACCCCAACCAAAATGAAAACATTAACAAGAAGTACAGGCTGTTTTGGAGGCACCCATGAAGGTATCTACTTTTTAGCTAAATATTTTAAGAAACTGTTCTTTCCAGCCAGAACCAGAACAGGAGTATCATTGATAAACACGCTATCAAAGGGACCAGACCCTGGACCCTGATTCTAAAGCTAACCACAGTAGCCCTGGACCACCATAGAAAACCATTAATAGACAGTTAGAAACCCCCAGGAGGCTAGCACCACATCTGACTGAAGCCCTTTGTGCCCCTACCCCCACCTTGGTGTCTAACTCAGAGCCAGGCATATGGAAGACAGTGTGGTCAGGTGGAGAGGGCTTAGAGTCTGACAGAAACAGGTTTAAATCCTCACTGCCACTTACTAGTTGTTTCAGTAGTGTACCTTTTGAGCCTCAGTTTTGCCATCTCTGAAATGGGTTTAATAATGCATAGGAAATGACTAAATGTAAGTAAAGTGACTAACCCCGTGGCTGCAGGATGGCAGGTGGTCCCCAGGAGAGGTTTGTGAGTTCTTGGTGCACTGAGCGTCCTCTGCTTTTGCCAGCTGTAGGCAAGAGCTAGGACTGAGGAGCTGGGAGGTCTGTGGTTCTGCCCACACCTGCAGGGCTTAGCTGGGAGTCTGGGACAACCAGCCAAGGGGGGAGGTTCAGAAGGGACTCTCAGGGCCAGGTTATGTTGGATTCCAGAGCCAGGCAGTGGTGGAGCTGGCCCTGGGATGAAATGTCATGACAAATTCCTGTCCGTGGAGCCACCAGGTCCACAGCCGCCAGTCAGGGCCTCAGAATCCAACAAGATTCCTCCCCATATCTACCAGGTCCCTCTCAGCCCTAGGCCTGCTCCTGGCTGGCCACAGCAGGCCCTTTTCTCTCCACCGCAGGGCCCCGAGGCCGGGTCTGCGCGGCCAGGTATCCGGGTATGAGCCCCAGGCGCCCCCAGTTCTCAGGCCCCTGTACTGACTCACCCCCACTCGCAGGTCCCAGCTGGGAGAGGGCCGCATGGCTGCCGGCAGGTGCCCCGAAGCCCTCGTCATTCTCTATGCCCGCGATCTCACTCTCCTGCTGGGCCAGGAAGGCAGCCGCCGGGTCCTCCTCCGCCGCCTCGGGCGCCCCGCTCTCCGACGACGAGAAGAAGCCAAAGTCATCAGCCATTTTCCCCGCGTCTCTACTGAAGCGTCCGCCTGGCGCTCGGCTCTGCCCGGCGCGTGCCCGGCGCTGCGCCCGGCGGCCGCGACACTGTCACCCGAGCCGCCCGGGAGCCGGCCTCGGCTGGGACTGGCTCGGCGCGGCGCGGCGGCCCCGCACTTCCTCTCCGCCACCGGGCCCGGCTCGCCTGTCACTGCAGCTGCAGGCGGGAGGAGCCGGGACGGGAATGCGGTGATGTCACCGGCCGTGGGAGGGGGCCCGCAGCGCGGCCGGAGGTCGCCTCGCAGCGGCCACAGGAGGGCGGCAGCAGGACGGTGGCGCAGCCCCAGGGGCCAGGAGGCCCCGGCAGCGCTCCCGCTCCCGGCTGGCATTGCTCTTTGCGGGGACACCAAGACGAGGCACAGCGCCCGGCCGGTCTAGAGGCAAGCGGACCTGGCAAAGCGGCCGGGGTATGAACAGCTCCGACCGCCAGAGTTTGCGTCGCCCGGCTGGGCCCCTACTTAGGGACCTGGCCCCTTAAATGTTCTTCAGTATGAACTGGTCTGAGAAAGACCTATTTATCCATCTCAGGCAGGCAACCCCGGCCTGGGGAGCACCGGGGCGGGGGGCGGGTGGGTAGTGGCTGCGCAGACCTTCCTCCTGAGTCATTCTGCGGATTCTTCGCCTAAACTGGGCAGATATTATGAATCCCATTATTATGAGAGTCCCGCTCTATAAGAGGAGGAAAAGGAGGCTTGGAGAGGTAGACCCTACGTCCCACCGCCTCTTGCATCCTTCCTGCAAGTCCAGAGCATTCCCCACTAAGCCTTATTGCTAAAGTACATATCTTATGCATCTCTCTTCATTTAAGGCGGCTTCAGCTCAGACTGCCAGAGTTTGGATGACCTGACTGGGCCTCTACTTTACAGGCTGGGTCCCTTAAATGTCCCTTAAGTGTGAAACTGCCTAAGAACGGCAGACCTAATTTATCCAGGCGTCCTGCCACTGGTCCAACCCTCCTGCCACTGGTCCAACCCTCCACCCTCAATAAACAGTCTCTGCCTCCTCCCTGCCAGCACTTGGCCAAGCACCAGGGCACCAAAATGTGGCAGAAAAAGCCAGCTTTGGCCAAGGAGAGATTACAGTCTATGAGACCAATAGATGATAAATGGCCCATCACAGCATCACATGTGAGGTGCTCTGACATTTAAACATTAAACATATAAACACCTTTAAAACTCTCCCTGGGAGACTCAGAGAACCACCATCAGATTTGGACATTGGGATTTTTCTCTTTCTGATTTGACACTTGAAAGTCAACTATGAACTGGAAAAGAGAAAGAAAAGATGCGCCCTAAACTGTGAGTAGTGGTTCCCTAACGGGTGGCGAGTAGAAGCAGAGTTAGGGTGAAGGGGAATTTCTCTCTCGCTCAGTAATATTTCGATGTAGGCCTCAATCGTATAATGAGAATATAGCTGTTTATAAGGAGTGTAAAAAAGAAAAAAACTTAAATTCCTGCACAACCCAATCCAAGCACACTACTCTGCTGTCATATGTCTCTTGTTCCCCTAACCCCAGGCTCAGGTGCTGTGAAGACCTAGAAAGTTTGCTAGTTTAACAAACCAGCCATAAATGTCCACTGCAGGTTTTGTGGCTAGAGGAGAGCTATGGACATTGTGTCCATTGTGACCTCAGCAGGCTATTCTTATTTGATTCCTAGAGACCTCAGTCAGTAATGTAGGCAACACTACATAGCATATTCATGTGCAAAATCCAAGGCAGAGCTTCCTCCTTCCTTCTTGAGCCTCCTAATTTAGCCGCCAGCAGCCTTTAGCTCCATGCTTACAGTTACACAAGTTACTGGTCTAGATTATTCTGCAACAGAATAATCTTGTACCTTACTCTTCCTTGTTCTACATTAATATTAAAAATCATTATTTTTAAGACTTTTTTCCCTGTCCTTCTTAAAAAAAAAGTTTATGTATTTTGAGAGCGGGGAGGAGGGGCAGAGAGAGAGAGGGAGAGAGAGAATCCCAAGCAGCCTACGCACCCCAGGGCTCGGTCCCATGAACTGTGAGATCATGACCTGAGCTGAAAACAGACGCTTAACCTACTGAGCCAAACAAGCGTCCCCAAAATCATTACTAAAGTCATATTTTGAACCATGTAGCATTTTTATGTGCTGGAGATTCCCGGTACCTTGATGCCCCCATGCACATCTTTGTAGACTTTTTAAGACAGCCCTACTTTTCTAATTCTCCACTCAATTGTGAAACTCAATAAAAGTCAAAAGAAATCAATAAAGTTGAGTAAACATATGAGGCAATCTCACAGAATCTAAATTTCAATTTATGAAGTCTAAAGTGGAGAAATTCTTAAAACTTTTTTAAGAGAAATTTTCAAGTGAACATAAGAATAGATCAAGAATCACATCCTCTGCTGACTGAGCCAGCCAGGTACCCCGATTTTAATTTTTTAAGGAACTGCCATAATGGTTTCCATAGCAGTTGCAGCATTTTACATTCCCACGAATAATTTCTTTTTTGTTTTGTTTGGATTGGTTGGTTTGAATTTCAAGGCTTTTTCCCCCCTTTTTCCAACTTTTTAGTTTGACATAATTTCAGACTTACGGAAAGTTGTAAATAATTCCCACCTGCCTCTCATCAAGATTCCCCAAATGATAACATTTCATCACATTGCCTTTATCCTTTTTGCTTCCCCCTACTGTTGGAGAGTAAATCGCAGAGCTGATGCCCCCTTTATCCCTAAATATTTCATTGTTTTCCTAAAAATAAGGACATCTATTTACATAACCACATTATAGTTATAAAAATCTAGATATTAATATTGATATAATACCATTATCTAATTGACATAACTTAGATTTTACCAAATGCCTCGATAATAGAGGAAAAGAAAATCTCAGATTATGCATTGCATTGTTATCTGTTTGATCTATTTTAATCTGGAACAGTTCCTCTCTTTGCCTTTCATGACACTGATGTCTTGAAGATTACTAGCCAGTTATTTGGTCCTTCAACTTGAGTTGTCTTATGTTTCTTCATGGTTAGAGTCAGCTTCAACATTTTTGGCAGGATTAGCGTGGATGTGATGCTGACTTCTCAGTGCATCATATCAGGAAGCACATTATGGGCTTTTGTCCAGGTACTGGTGATATTAACATTGATCATTTGGTTAAGGTAGTATCTGTCAGGTTTCTCCACTGCAAAACTGTTTTTCCTTTTATAATTAATAAAGATCCTGTGGATAGGTATATTAAGACGATGCAAATTTTGGGGTGCCTGTGTGGCTCAGTCAGTTGAGCGTCCAAAAATCCACCTCCCCTACTTGCGCTCTGCCAAAAATAAATAAATATTTTTTTTTTTTAAAAAGTAATCTGTGGTAACAGAAGGCAGTAGCTGCCTGGGCAAGGGGTTGTAAATTGACTGAGAAGGGGCACAAGAGCATTTTTTAGGGTAACGGATATGTTTCATATCTGGAGTGTGCTGGTAGTTACATAGGTATACATATCTGTCAAAACTCAGGGAGTTGTACACTTAACCCGGATGTACTTTATCAATTATAAATTTGACCTCATAAAATTGATTTTTCAAACAGACTTAAGCATAAATAAATGCAACGTGGAGGCATTGTTTGGATCCTGATTCTAACAAGCCAACTGCAAAAAAATTTATAAGGCAATCATGAAAATTTGACTATTGACTGGATTTTTTGCTGATATTGATATTGTTAAATTTTTTTAAGCTGTAATAACCATATTGTGGGTCTATTGAAAGAGAGAAAAGAATTCCTTCTCTTTTAGAGAAGTACTTATGGATGGATTGATAAGACATGTGAACTTTGCTTTAAAAAGAATTAAAGCACAGGACAGTGGAAGGGGTGTGGATGAAACAAGTTTGGCCAAATGCTGATAAGTATTGAGTCTGGGGGATGGGCCCCGTGGCATTTACTACGTTAAACAATTAAAATTTCATTATTGTACTTTGTTATCACTTCCACATTTGTACATGTGCTGTACATATTTGCAATGTGTTGACCTTGTTTGGATCCTAAGTGAGCAAACGCACAATGAAAAGATACTCATGGGACAATTGGGAAAATTGAAATACCCACTAGCAAACAGCTGACATTGAGGAATTTGGGGAGAAACTTTTTTGATGTTATAATCGTTCTGTGGTTGTGTAAAAAAGAAGATAAAGATGAAGGTGGAGGAGGAGAAGAAATTGTAGCCATTATGATGATCAAACCTGGCACACAAATCTTGGTTTCTTCATCTTCCACTCAAAGGTACCAGGAGTACTTGTTGAGATGGCTTCTTTTTTTTTTTT